TTGTTCAATTCTTATCCAACATGCGTACGCGCGTAAATTATTTACGAGCGATTGAGCTGGGAAAATATCGATTTTATCATAGCTCACGTTTCGTACGAAAGCGTAATTTATCCCCTTCATGGAAGACGCGAATTACTAAACGATCGAATTATCCACGATTTCAGGCAACGCGCAATGTCGAGTATTTCCAACGTAGCCTTGCATAACCGAGCCCATATCCATCTGGATTATTAAAATCTGACACCTGTCCTCATTTCTCACGAATGAGTGTCCCACGTTACTGAGATAAATAATGAATTTCGATGCTTGTGCAGCGGATTGGTTACCATAACGACCGACTCGTTGGAGTGCCATTTGCATAACCACGACCTTTCGTCGTACAACCGCGTGTTCTTTCTTGTCCAATCAAAGCTCGACTTCCGATCTACCGAATGATTCGTTTGAATAATGCATCGTGGGAAAATGTCGAATTCCCAATGGTTTCCCGATCGTTTCCCAAACCGTACGAGATTTTTGTCGAGCTCGTGGAGATCTCATGAATGATTTTTTCTCACATTACCTTGAAAGCTTGAAAACACGCGACAAATTTCTTTTTAGCATATTATAAAAGAACGTCGATTACTCTTTCAATATTATTCAAGTTTTTGCGTACACGAAAAGAACAATTTTGCTGAAGTATCTAAAAATTTAGCTAAATACAGATTTGAAAATAATTTTGTTGAACTATCAAAGTATAAATTGTGTAGGATACTCAAATTGATTGCTAGAATGTCAAAACTTTATGCAACATTGCTCATCATACTTTAGTTTCCAACACAATTATTTTGATGATTCAATAAAGTTATTTTCAGATCTGTATTTGTCTATAAATTTTTAGATATAATATTTTAGCAAAATCGTTCTTTCCATATATGGAAGCCGATTATATAGACAACATATTGAATGCTTTTTACTACATTTTTATAGCATCATTATTTTATATAAATACATTGGACACTATAAAGTCTTATATTCTTATTCCTTAATATCGCGCAAATATCATATCTAGAGAGGTCGCGATCTATATTTAACCCTTTGAGGTATGTCGAAGCAAACCACCCAGTATTCACGCCGAGTGTTCACGAAAAGAACGGATGAAAAACTGCCAATACGGCCTACGCCGTTATGGATATTGACGTAATCAACATCGGGAGTTTCTTTCGCTCTAATAGAGTTTTATAGATGGAATTTATGTTGAAGCACAACCCCTGTAATTGGCCTAAAAATCGAGTGCTTTTTAATCAATATTTGAGAATAATAAATAGTCGAGAGCCAAATAACAAGCATATAAAAATATAAATATATCTCAAAGCAATTTAATTAGAAAAATTGAGATATGTAAAAATTTCATGAAAACGGTTTTTATACATATCTTAATTTTTCTAATTAAATTGCTTTGATATATTTACGTTCTTATATGCTAGTTATTTGGTCCTTGACCACTTATTATTGTTAATTACCTTTACTAGTTTGTCATAATTTCTATTATTTTGAATATTTGAAAAGTTTTTACTATGATATATTAACACAGATTTCTAAAAAAAAATATATATTTAACAAAAGAGTGCTGTTTGCAGTATATTCTATATGATTGCGATTTTCTCCAAAAGCAAAAACGAGCATACCTCTAAAGAGTCTTTTTTTTATTTATCAATTCTCTACACGCTCCCGAAGTTTGGCCATTTAAATTCGGGACATCCTGTATATATACATATATTTATTATGATATTTAGCTTCTCTGCATGTCGCTTCAGTAAACACGCCGAACGAAAAGAACGAAATGAAAAAGTTTCCAATACGCCGTTACGGATATTGACGTAATCAACATCGGGAGTTTCTTTCGCTCTGATAGAGTTTCAGATGGAATTTGTATTAAAGCATAACCTTTTTAATTGACCTATAAAAAGCAGACTCCTTTTAATCAATATTTGAGAAATTTTACCACGATATATTAATACAGATTTGTAAAAAGAAAACTGTATCTATATTTAGCAAAAGAGTGTGCTATTTGCGATATATTCTATAATTACTTATTTAAAGATATTATGGTATTCAGCTTTTCACACGTCGCTTCGATAATGGTCGCATTCAACAGCCTCAACTGTTGTGGAGCGGACCCATGAGCGCTCGCTGCTATTGGTGTATTCTGTTAGAGCATCCAATAGCAGCGAGAGCTCACTGATCCGCTCCGCAACAGTTGAGTCTGCTGAACGTGACCATTCACTATTCACACCGAATGTTCGTGAAAAGAACGGGATAAAAAAACTTTCAATAAGGTTTTACGGTCGTTACGGATATTGGTGTATATTCAATGTTGGATAATAATCAACGTTTCTTTCGCTCTAATAGAGTTTCAGATGTAATTTATGTTAAAGCGAAACCTTCACACACATAATTGGTCTAAAAAAATAGCCTAAAAATCTATAGTTCTTACATGCATAGAACGGTTTTGTTTTAAAGTAACTAAAAATTTAACTAGACACAGATCTGAAAATGAATTTTGATACACCATCAAAATAATTATGTAGGACGCTCAAGTTGGTTGCTAGAATGTCAAAACTTTTTGCAGCATTGTTCATTATGCTTGAGTGTTCTACTACTACTACTAATAATAATTTTGATAGTTCAATAAAATTATTTTTAGATTTATATCTAGCTATATTTTTAGATATTTCAGTAAAATCATTCTTTCTATGTAATTAAAATGTGTTAGCGAATTTTTGCCACAATATATTAATAAAGATTCTTAAAAAGAAGAGTACATCTATATTTAACAAATGAATGTGCTATATTTGCAGTATATTTTGTATAATTTATATCTACATAGAGATATATTTATTATGATATTTAGCTTTGCCACACGTTATTTCAGGTAATATGAAAATACACGCAAAATACACAAATACGACGAGAGAGAATGGATCGCTATTACTTCGCCATTGAATTTGCATTTTTAATTACTCTTCGTAACGCAATCTTCTTGATGTAGAGTTCTTGTGCACAGTCGCGCACGACTTTATCATTTATCTCGCCATTTTCACGTACTGTATATATATCTTTATATACTACTCCGTAGAATAGTATATAAAGTTAAATAATTTATATTGCCTCTGTGCGTTGCGTACTTTTGTAATATGCTTTTTTAAAACATTTCTCCTTCCTATTTCAAAAACGATATAAAATTTTTATTTTCGCAGAGAAAAAAGCTACTTAAAAAATTATTTAAATTATTATGACTATCTCTTTTCTCTCACGCGCCTTTCCCCCGATGTCACAGTATTTCCGCGTTTCGCGCCTGAGGGAATCAAGCTCGACGGTGATTGCGATCGGTCACCTTTGACTTTTTTCCTCGCTGATGAGTCAGATGCCCGATTCAAAAAGCTTTATTGAAATTAACGTGCCGCCCACATACGTTTCGCTACTTTTCAGACGGTGCTATTATGTTGCTCCGTAGTAGTAAAGACGCACAAGAGAACTTATCAACAATACGGAGGGATAAACTCGGAAATTTTAGGCACCGTACCGAGAGCATTGACGTGGCTTTATTTTTATTCCGACACGTGTTGCGCGGGCGAACTAAGAAAACACGATGATATCCAGGGCAATTCGTACTCGTGCCGTGTCTCTCGTCATTTCACTTTCGTCATCCTATGACGATATAATTAAACCGTCAACTTTTCTAAAGACGCCTTTCACGATTCTGTTCTGACGGCTACGTATAATGGGACTGTTTAACGTAACATTGGCTGCGTGATGCGATCTTCACAAATTGTCTTCTGCAACGTTCTTTCGAATGTACAGTTTGCAATATACGATGTATTGATACTGACGTATTTAATTTATTGCGTTCTAGATCAGCTCATACTTATTTAAGTGCCGTACTTATTAAAGTGCCATACTTATTTAAAGTGAAAGTATTTTTGCGCGTGTTTGCTTGCTCAGAAATAGCGACGTATAGCAGAAGAAACTGCACTGACCAAGATTAAATCTTCACAACGTCTCGGATGATTATATGTTCGATAGTCTTAATAGGGCCAGCGAACCGAAGAGGAAAATTATATTGAAATCGGGATTTGGTTATTAATAAGTCAGAGTACCGTGCAATCGGACTCTGAATGCGAAGCGACAAGAAGAAATCAATGATTTCATATATAAAATGAAGATGTCCATTATGTGCAGCCCGTTGAACAGTGAAATATCCTGTCTGAATACTGTTCTTTGGATTCCATTATGTATTCCCATAAAACATTTTTAATGTATTTCTATCAATGGAATATCATCCATCTCTAGCAAAGAATTCTGTATTTTTATTATTGCGCTCATCTTATATGCGCACCATTCGATCTTGTTTTCGCAATCGTATAATCTCATTGCTCTCGTATTTCGTATCTCCACGTATGAATCTATTTTTATAGATATTTTCTCGTTATCAGAAAGTTTATTTTCAATTTGCATAGCCGATCTTTTCTATTTGATGAATGCTCAGCGAGCGTAGTAGGTCAAAACAGAATATATGTATATCGACGAGGTGGGAGGATTTAAGATTTCCAAGTTTCAATAACTTTCTTCCAAAGGAATGTATGAGCGGTATTCATTATCGGATCTTATAATCAGGATCATTTTAAATACAGTCTTAAGATATCATGAACCAATCAGAGAGCTGTATTAGCATCTTAAAACATTACTTAAGGGGGTGCTGGAGTGACCAAATTACAGTCAGTATCACATTACAGTCGTATAAAAATCTTCGAATATTTGGTCACTCCAGCATCCCTTTAAGACGATCTTAAAATAAGACTCGACTATGAATACTGGTCTAAGAGTCAGTCGGAGTTTGAAATAGTTGAAGTATTAAAGGATTGCAAAGATTTACGTGTTCGATTCGAAAGTTATCGTTGCTATGTACATTTTGAAGAAAACTTGTTTTCCCGCTGTTATCTAAGGATCTGAAAATTGCTCACCTTGTCAGAATCTAGCGCGTGGGAGGGAACACTCAATCATCGCACGTCCACACGTCGCTCCCGCGCTCGTGTCAACCGCGTAACTACATCCCGGAGTACGTCCGGTGGCTCTCGCGGGTAGAACGGGCGCGCGCGAAGCTGCGTCAGAAGAATTGCAATCGGGGAGTTCACTATATGAACGGCCTGTCCATTAAATCATCGACCGATCGAAACTTTCGCCGCGTCTTTCGTCGACGTTTCTCGCCTGATTTTCCTCCCGCATTCCGCTCGGAGTTAAATGGTTGCGACCTCCTGTGGGTCTATCCTGACGGTGAGTCCCGGTTGGATGGATTCTGGCTGATAGTCGGCAATCCGTAGGATATACAGGGCGGTAGGCTCCAGAGAGAGATAGAGAGAGAGAGAGAGCGATATTAAATCACCGTCGTCGTCGGCGGCGAGACCCGTGGGAAACGCTCGACGAGATGCCGCTCGAGGGAGTGTCCTCCTCCTTCTTCGGCATCACCTGTTGGTATCGCGCCGTGACCCCGGTCACAGTTTTATACGGGGTGGCAAACTATGAAAATGCCACTGCCGGAGTGGAGCGGCGCGACGCCGCGGCGCAGCATCTCGCACCGAACTAGTGCGCACTCGCCGTCACGGCAGATCGATGTGTTATATCGCGGAGCTTCATTCCGCTCTCTCTCTCTCCGAAAGAGGATAAGGGTTCCTCTTAACCAGGATCGATTTCTCCTTCCCTCTCGACGGTCGGTTATGCGCCGTTATGCGTTTACCCGTCGATTTCGCGGCGTATCAAATGCACCTGTCGCGGCCAGGTAGCGTGCAAATGACAGCTTCGTAGTTAGTTGGTATTTAGGTGAACAAACAGTATCTAGATATAAATATTTATATATGCGAAAAGTTGTAAGAGCAACAAGAAGCATAATAGGAATGCTAAGTACTTAACACTTACTTACTACAAGTACACTTATTTATTTTTTGGACATTTTTCATATATTTCCTATATTTTTTGTCTGGTGTTTTACTTTAACATTTATTGATTTTCTTTTTTAAGTTGCAATCTTATTTTTAATATTTTTATACGCGATGCAGTATGATGCTATTTTTATTTGTATTTTATACATGGTACGAAGAATGCATAATATTGGATACATAATATCAGAATTTAATCGGGATATTATTTTTTCCGATATCAGTTATTTTTGTTCAAATTGATGTAATTTATAGAAGGAGATTCATTAGAGATCTCGACAATATTTCATAATCAGTATTTTATAATTAGTTATCTTAACAGATATTAACATTTTCGACGATTATTTCGATCTATTTTTACTCATCCCATGTTTGTTCCACCGTTTTCTAGATTTCCCTTTTTCTCAGATTCGTTCATTATAGTCATAACTCGCAAAAACTTGCCCAATTATTGCGCATATTATTAGAATAGAACAATCCCAGGGCACTCCTAACATTAACTTTTACGGGGAAAGCCACTATAGTATATATGTATATATAAAAATAACGTTGACATTTTAATAACGTGCAACAGGGCGATTAATAAAGTTAAATTAATGACTTAAATTAATGATTTAAAATGCAATTATTTGAAAATCTATTATAAAAATTTAATATGTTGTACAAATACAATATATTTTGAGGTATGTTTAACATATTTCATCTATACAATCTATACGTATCTATTCAATCTGAAAGTGTCGAATATGTAATTAAATCAAAAGATATTTCAAACTTTGATGCATTCAATTCTAATTACAGTTAAATAATTCATTATTGCTCGCGCGCGTAAACAATGTGATAAAACTATACTTCATAATTTCCATCTCCTATTTATTGCTGAAATTCTCGAGTGAGTTGAATAAATCGCGTGAAATATTTGCATCGATGAAAACTGTTGATAGATTTACGGTCCATCGCAAAAGTTACGAAATAATAACCGAGATAATTGCTCATGGGAAATAATCGCGTTTCGATGGATAGCACATGCGGAGCTTCATATTATTACTGCTGGTTGAAGCCTTATTGCGCGAATAATAACACGACGTTCGATGACCTTGCCGTTGTATAATAAAAGCCAAATACTTGAAACGTTTAACGTATCATGAAACAGGCGTACGTCTAAAAATTCCACTTTTTGTATTTTAAATTAATCTTGACTGAAAATGAACTATTCTGCATATTTTGAGCTTCATTTCGCGGACTCGTTAACATCGAAACGATGATTAATTCCGTTTGATTGAAGAAGCGTTTCGAAATGGAAATGTCATTGCTTGAATTTTAACTAACGAGACAACTTGCTTCAATCTAGTTGGTATCTATATGTATAAATGTATATCATTGCGGTAACAAATTTTAATTGATATTTGAAATTTTACAACAACGAAATTTTATTTTTAATTAATAAACACGTAATTATACGATCATGAATTTCTTTTAATGGCAGTACTTTAAATAGATGATATACACTATTATTTAAAAAGAATCAAAATATATTATTTGAAGAATAAGATTTATCTTTGTTTTAATCGAAAAAAGAGTTTATGTACCTAAATTATTTTATTGTTATTTATAGATTTTATTTAATAGAAAAAGAAAATCATATAATCTTATTAAATAAAAATATTTCAATTTTAATAAGTCAAAGAAGTAAAATTAAATTGCTGCAAGAAGACCTCGTGATACAAATTATTATTCTTTTTAAGTTATTAAAATCATACATCTTTGTTGTTTTCGGTATGTATACAGACTAGAAAAATAATAACAAAATCATTTCCATAAATATTTTTCTACTGAAAACAAGAATATATATAATATATAAGCTTTAGCCTTTAAATAAATATTAACTTTCCTATTGCTAACATATTCGCATATCCTAAGCATATCATTTACTGATGCTCTTTAAATATATTTAATATTTTAATTACAAAACTTTGTAATATATTCGGGGATTTGTAAAGTAAATATTGTGTAAATAGACCAGCTGATTTTGTAAATAATATTTATTAGATAATGTGTGCTTACGAGTATTAGGTAACATAATGTACTCTAGGGTCCTTCATAGAAGGCGTACAAATCATTGTTCCAGCAATGTCTTCTAGATTAACGTAGATAAAATCGTCGCCGTTGCGATCGTCTTCGTCCGCTCTTCGCGAAACTCGCCTCGTTACGCGAAGTAACAATTTCTTTTTAATAATCGACACGTAAAATCGAATCTCTCTTTTTCGTCGAGGTCGCGGATTATCACCCCCCCCCCCCTTCTCGCATTTATCCAGCCGAAGTTTGCAAGATTACCTTTTAATAACTTGGCCTATACGCCGTAAAATGGCGTGTAATCCATGATATTTGCAAACTTCACTTTTGGGAAGATGTCTCTTTAAATATATTATTTTTTTAAACGTTTACTTTTCTTTTTACTTGTAACAACCTTCTTTACTTTTTTACTTATACACGTATATGCTAAAAATTCAACAATCATCTATTAATAATAAGAAATCGAGTAGAAATGTTACTGATTCATTGGCTACAATGGCTTATACAATACATCGTAAAATTGAGTTTCACATAGCAGAGCAAGCGCGTCTAATTAATGTAAAGCTGCTTAATCGCGAAGGGTGAGTTACGCTATACACTTCGATAAGCCAGCGCGTAATGTTTAAGGGAAAATCGTTTTGCAAACTGCCGTCGCGATAAGAGTCTGACCTTAATTACACGCGGACACGACCTCATTAGTGATGCGATTCGATTTTATTGCCGCAGTTCACGCGTATCTACGACGATCGACTCGACTCGACGTTTCCCCGGGTCAATTCTAACATCAAACCAACCGAAACTCCTAAAATTAGTTTATACACGATCTAAGTTTACCTTTCTTTCTCACTCTCTCTAACTAAAACTTTTCTCAAGTGAATGTATCATTTGTAAATATTTTCCTAAGTTCGTCGAAGCCGACGAGCGTGCGCTCGAAAAATGCGGCTCGACTTTCTTTAAAAAATTCTCGATTAATTAATTCCTATTCTCTTTGCATTCTCTTGCACGAGTTTCTTCATGCATACATTCTTTTACATACATTCATACTTTTTCCTCTCTCTTTCTCTCTTTTATTACATACAGGATATTTCCAAACTATCGCCAATTTTGTTCTTTAGGAATTCTTTGATTAATTTGGATTTTGACATTTTTAAATGAAAATATCGAGGCGTCAGTATTCTGCAAATTACAAGCAGCTAAAAAAAACTGAAGACTTTTATTATTAATATGTAACGAAAACTTGCTTTTCAATCTGTATTTTGTATTATTTTAACAATGTTAATTGAAAAGTTATGGAACTAAAATATATCTGATATTTTAAAGTACATCTATAAAAGAATTATGAGAAAGTAGACTGAAAATTAATCAAACAATTCATAAATGAAAGAAATGACGATAGCATTTTGAGATATCCTATGAATATAGTATATATTTATTTGTTCTCATATAGATAATAGCAAATGAGTTAATCTCATGCACATTTTACGTCCGCAAGTACATCGATGCCTAATTTTCATAGATATTAATGTAATTACGCACATATCGGTATATATTTATAATTACGTTCATAGGATACCATGTACATGTGTTTTTGTTTCTCGATTTTTCACTTTATTATTCTTTCTCTCTTTCTCTCTCTCCCTCTCCCTTTCTTTCTCTGATTGTGTAAATGTGTGTATATTATCATATATATATATATATAATATATACTATTTTTCTTAGATAGTATGTATCAATAGTGTCTTTTGTCTTTTTTTTTATATCGTTAAGAATTAATTTATTAAAACTTTCTCTATCATCTTTTCATTTTCATAGCGTCTTTAATATCTAGCCATGTCATTAATCATGCAATATATTTTTATCGCATGGGTATTTTTTTTCGCAAATCCCTCTCGCTCTTGCTTTCTCAATTCCCTTTTTCTCACACGCATATATACACACACATACACACACGCTCTCTCTTTCTCTCGCTCTTCTTCTCATCCCGCCACGTAATTAAATTTTTCTAAAAACTTTTACACGCTGTACATAGTCATCGAACAGCTCGAGGCATCCTGCTGATTGTACTTGTATTTGTTGATAATGAAATTTCTCTTTAAACGCCTCCCATTCCGCTTCTCATTCCCGAGTTCTCGCGTTATAGACGACGATGCCCTTCAGAACAGTGTTTCTAAAGTGCTTTAAATCGCGACCATCACTTCTTTTTCTAGGATTCATCTCGAGCGTTCGACAAAGCGATAAATCGAAAATGCGAGCGGGCGAAAGTTTCACGTCGTACCTCCGCCGAAGTTCACTGCGGAAATTTACAGCTATTGGCCCCTTTTGGACCAACTTACACGACTTACTCGACATCGATTCGACTCGTTTACGTCTATGACGATCGGCGTTACTTCACCTTGAGTCTCCTTGACGTTGAGAGTCAATAAAAGATATATCTTCGCGAAATTGAAATTACTATTTTAGTCGAATCACAGAGTCAGGATGATCTAGAA